CCCAGAGCATTTTTATACATGCTGTGGGATGTGGCACTGGATGATTTAATTAGCAAGCCATGCTAATTAAAAGTACTCACGCGTCACATGTATCAGTGTCCCCACGTGTCCCAGCACAAAAAAAAGATGGTAGGGCACTCTGAAATAAAACATGTTTGATGAGCTTTAGTTCAAAGCACCTCACCACCATTTTTAGAGCACAGAGACCACTGGGATGCTGATACATATGACGTGGAAGGCTGCTGGAGCATGTCAATTTCCATGCTCCAGCAGACTTGATTAATAGCAGACTGATACACTCGATTTCCAGTGGGTTGGAGCAGGTTCCATGTACGTGTATAGGAGCCCCCATTTATCAGAAAGTCTAACTGGGTAGACTAGGTAAGGTCTCTTCTCTTGAAGCTGGGCCTCTGAGCAGTCAAGAATGCATAACCTGTAGAATCAGAAAAAGATCAAGAAAGATGGAGTGTGACTTTGTAATTCATGGAAGTGCCCTCTTCACTGAGAGGGGAAGACCCTTGGTCTGATTAGGGCTGCTAAAGCAATTTAGGGCCCAAACAACAGAAGTGACAATTTCATCCAATCTGGCTACAGAAAGAAGTTTATAGCCATGAAAACAAATTTTGGCTTTTGTTTTTTAATTTGGAGAGAACAAAGAAGGAAAGGATCAGGCCGCAGCTGGAGTACTGTGTCCAGTTCTGGACGCCACACTTTAAGAAGAACATGGAGAACCTGGAGAGGGTCCAGAGGAGGGCCACTCATATGGTTGAGGGCCTCTGTGGCCAGCCCTATGAGGAGAGGCTGAGGGACCTAAGTCTCTTCAGTCTCCGCAAGAGGAGACTGAGGGGGGGTCTTGTGGCTGCCTACAACTTTATCAGGGGCCAGCAGCAGGAACTTGGGGAAAGTCTGTTCACCAGAGCCCCCCTTGGAGTCACCAGGAACAATGGCCGCAAGCTGAGGGAGGATAGGTTTAGGTCAGATATTAGGAAGAACTACTTCACTGTAAGGGTGGCCAGAGCCTGGAATAGGCTTCCCAGAGAGGTGGTGCTCTCACCTTCCCTGGAAATCTTCAAGAGGAGACTGGATAGGCACCTAGCTGGGGTCTTATGACCCCTCCCACCCCCAGTGCTCCTTCCTACCCATGGCAGGGGGTTGGGCTAAATGATCTGTCTAGGTCCCTTCTGACTCATTGATTCTATGATTCTATGATTCACTGAAAAATTAAACACTAGGTGCATGCTTCCTTTAATCTGGGTCTTGGAGAGCCATTAAGAAGCACATCCTGCCAACTCACTCTTATTTCACACTCATCAAATCCCAAAAGGTAGGTAACAACTTTAGAGCTGCTCTTGGCACATGCCAATATTCCTGCCTCAGAGCAACTCTGAGTATGCACTCAGGGTCATACTACAGAACCTACCTATGCCCAATTTCTGGGAGCAGAGTAGGAAAAAGAGGATAGGGTATGCTTGCTGGTAATGTTTCACACTTTTGATTTTTCTAGAATGCCATGCTTTTGCTAAAAAACAAAACAAAAAACAATAAAAACTTGAGCTCCTTGAAACAGTTAATTTCAGCCCGTGACAAATTTCACAACACAGCTTTGCAGAAAGGGAACAAGTAAAGTTTGCGATTATGTCAAATCAACTCTACATTTTGGGGAGAAGAAAAAGTAAGGAAAACTAGGAAAACTGGTGGACCTTTTCTAACAATAATGTATTTAGCTTCTTGTCAAATTTATGAACTCTGAAAATTCTTTAAGTTGTTACTTATTTTGAAGCATGGGCGACATATTTTATTTTATTTGTCAGTTATAGATACACTTCTAAAGACCCATCACTTTAGTATCTAGAAGGTATGAGAATCTGAATAATGTATATAAAAATTAAAGTGTACAGCAAGCCCCCAGGTTTTTCTTTTTTTTAAAAAAACTTAAAAATACATTTCCTCTCCTTTCCCAACTGTTTCTGACTTTCTCTGTGCCCTCTCTATCCCTTATAAGTAGTTATAGATAAGCTAAGTTCTTGTATTCCATTATTCTAATAAGCCCCTTTTTATACTGGACATAGTGTTCTGTTATTTTTTTCATTGATTTTTATTGTTTTATATTGTATTCCTATTATGTTTGTATTGATTTTTACTGTTTTATAAGGCTATTGTATGATTTAGGCCTGTTTTTGTAAAGTAGCCAAATGTCAAGTCTCCATCTTGTCAAGTCTCCATTTTGTGTCCCCTGCCCATAATTGTGTGCAACTATTACTCATACCTACCCCTCCCATGTAGACTGTTTCCTGGATGAGAATGCTTGAGACATAATGGTAGCAGGCCTAAAAATTGCTCCTACTGAATGACTGGACCATGAACTTAATGACCCAACTACTGCCTTGCATTGACTCTCCCTGAAACCACAGACCTACTGCCAGGACCAGATATTTGAAAGATAAAGACCCTCCAAGAAACCAGCAACATGGAAACAAAGAACAGAATGGAAACCAGCAACTCCACCATTGTATCCCACCGGACAATGAGGACACCTGGAACCGCATGACCTCATCTGAGCAGGACTGGTCCTTGCCTGGGCGTGTCCTCTCCACAGGAGTCACAGGTAGCCCACCCCTATAAGAGGAGTGGTAAACTGTGACCTCCTGGGGACACCCTCTCCATCTGGAACAGCACTATCCATCCAGAGGCCCTGCTGGTGACCCCCTTTGGACAACACCTCGCTGGAGAAGACCCTGACTGGCCATTGAGGATCAATTCTCAGCCTGAGATAGGTAGCTATCACCCACATCTTCCCTCCAAGTAAGGAATCTGAATTCTGTTTATTCATACCCTAACTTCAATCCTTCTACCAAGCCTTTTGCCTCTTGCTACCATTGTGTGAGTGCATATACCAATAACTTTGTGGGCTGTATAGTGTTGCCTGTCTAATAAAATTGATATTTTTGGATCCCAGAGTTGGGTTTTCTTTTACTGACCTCCCAGCTTCTCTGCCAGCTTCCTGCTCCCCCAGCTCACTGCTGCTCCACCACCTCCCGGCTTTCAGCTGTCTTTCCCCAGCTCTTATCTTCCTCCACCTCCAGGCTCTCTACCCCGGCTTTCCCTGCCACCTCTCTGGCTTCTCTGCCAGCTCTGCCCCCTCCCCACACCAGCTTTCTACCTCCAACTCCGCTGCCTCTGCTCTCCTGGCTCATGGCCAGCTCGCCCGGTCCTATCTCCACCACCTCCTCTGCCTGGGGCCCCAAGTGCCCCCTAGTCACCAAGCACCCCAATTACCCCCAAGCGCCCCCTAGTGTTAACACACACAGCTACTGAAGTATGTGTTTATATATGTGTATGTGCATGGACCCATAGTGTCGTGTGTGTGTGTGTGTGTGTGCGCGTGTGTGTGTAATTTGTGTCATGCCCTCCCGCCTAACAGCGCAATATTGAGATCCCGAGCGTTGATCTGGCACATGCCAAGTCAACAAAAGAATGGCATAGACATTAATTAATTACAAACTACGGTTTTGCATACTACAAAACAAATTCTTAAGTAGTTTCACAGACAAGATCCCCACAAAGTCTGTGGGAGCTTCCCTGAGTAACATAAGGGTAGAATTTTGTCCTGCCCTAATTGAAGTTAATGGTGAAAATCACATTTGAGTCAAAATAAGAGTCCTCAGAGGGGGAAAGAGGGGAGGGTCGGCAGGGAAAGGGATCCTCCTGCTGCTTCCTGTTCTCTTGAGATTTATCTTCACCGCAAATTTAACTTGAGTTAAGGCTTTTTGTGAGTGGATGAAGCTGGCTTTACAGGCAACAATGAAATGTGGTGGTACTTTAAGGCTGGCTGGCTTTCCAGCTAAAACTTGAGTAAGTACAAGTTTTCATCCAATAACAGAAGCACTCTACAATGAAGATACAAGCCTCCAGTGATTTCCCATAAATTCTCCCTGTGCCCCAAAACCCATGGAGGTTATTCCAGTTTAGTGGTAAAGAATCATAGAATGACTCAGAATACTGCTGCAGCACTGAGAATCATAGGATGTTCCCAGATATCTCAGTACCATGCAAGTAAGTATAGACCACTATATTCTGGGCAACTCAAGCAATACTTCAAAATGTGGACATTCTCAGTCAGAAAAACAGGGTAAATGTAGAAGAATAACTAAACTATAATTACTTAACTCTGAAGTGACAATGTGCCTACATGCACATCTATGATAACCAAGATAGTATGCAGTGTAAGAACAAATGCTACTTTAATTTAATGCATTCAATTCAAGCAGTGCTAAAGTTGAGCTGTCTGAATATATATATGGTTGTATATTTATTATATAATTTATTTTATATTACTATATTATACACACACACACACACACACACACACACACTATATGTGCAAATAGTTCAATGGGAGTTTATTTTCAGATGACTATGAAAGACTAATGCTTTTGAAAACCAATAGAAGACAATCACTTCTTGATCTCAAATTGAACATGAAGCCACCATTTTTAGTATCAGCAAACTTACACACAGTCTTATCTCTATTCAACACTATGTATGTACTTTGCATAAAGTGACATTTGATAAAGAGATGGAAAATATTAGTCATAAAACTTGTCCTCCCAGACAATACACACTAGATTTCAATAAAGTCAAATATTAGTACATTTCAGTTTATCATTAGGATGTCATGATAGTATCAGAATAAACAGCCTCTTCATCTGTGGTGCATAAAAGTTCAATAGAACATTTTTTCCCATAACCACCACTGACACTATTTGCATATACAAGTATAAGAAAGGAAACAGACAATACCACAAGTGTTAGTACAGTAAGAGAGCAGCAGGACCCTGTGTTTTAGAAGAAAAAGAAAACCTAAACCATGTAATTTGGAATTGTCCCTACAAAGGCCCTGCTAAATGAAACACACTTACGAAAGGCAGCAGCAACCCAAGAAGAGGTGCTGTAAGTATAAGATTTTGTATAACTCTTTTTAGAATTTAAACTGAAACTGTTCTTCAACATAAACAAGAAAGACAGTGGTATGTGCTTGGCTACTCTCGCCAAAATGTCCTTTTTCTATCCCTTCCCATTTGTAAAGTTAGCTTTAAAAAAAAGGCAATAACCCATTCCCTAGCTATGTATAATGCACAGACCAATCTAACTAGATGTGTATTTGAAACATATGTATGACATTTCCAGTATACAGAGATCACAGCAGTTCTGCAATAAGTAAAACATCAGAAAGGTTACTAAGTCCAACTGACTAATACCTTACGATACATATTCTTTATAAAGGCTTCATTGTACAAATACAGTTAAGAACTGACCCATTTTTAAAAAGCCCACTACAGGCATGCCCTCTTAAAGATAAATATGTTGCAATTTCATGTGACGGTGTACCCATGATCGAAATAAAAAGCATATTAGTTTCACTGAAAAAGGAAAGACCTTGGTTTTTGATTTGTCAAAATGTTTTGTGAGCAGAAAAATATTTTCTTATATGAGATTTGAAACGAAAAAGTTGTTCCAAACCTACATTGTTTGACAGATTACTTATGTTCTTTCCATCTCCAATAGTTCCGACTCTTCAACTTATTTACTAATAAAAGGGTGATTAATCCTCTAAAACTATACTCCATTCATTCATATAGCTGACTAACTCAGCAACTTCCATGTGACCTGACTTGTTTATTATGAAATCTGCAGGGAATATGAAATCCCACATGCTAAAATAATTTCTGTGGCCTGCATGAAGCAAACTTTACAATAAAAAGGAAAAGATTGGGATAATTTTCACATATCATTGAAAAATTAAAACAGTTCCCTTGTCTTATTTTTCTGCTAGTCCAAGAAAAAAAAAGTGTATACAGTACATACCTGTGTTGCATATAATATATCATGGAGGTAATATATCATGGAGGTAAGAGCTTTGAGAAGGGAAAGGTGATTAAAATGAACTGTATAAATACTAAATTATTTTATTATTATTATTAATAAATATTGTATTTCCATCATTGCATACATCCAAGCTAGAGCATTTTATTAATCTTTGTCACCTTTAATCTTATGGGAGGTGAACGGCAATGCTTTAAAAAGCATCAGAGAAAAAATCATAGTGTTTTCCAACTCCGACTACATCTGTTGGTCTAATAAAAGATATTACATCTACCGAAAGAACCTTGCCTGCCAGTGTTTTATAGTCATTCTAATAAATTAGTTTTATGTTCAAAAAGTACCTGATAATAACTGAAAACCTGTAGACTTTACTAAAAGAGTATAATATTGTACTTGTGCAGAGAATGTAAATATTAGGTTCAAACTGATCACACATTTCTGTGACCTATTGAGTTGGGATAAGGAGCAAAGCATCACAGAGAACTGTCTATGGGCCCCTTAACTTGTGAAATTATTTTTGAATCAGAAGCAAAATTTACAGATTGCACACACACATACAAAAACTGAGCTTCCTATATAATGATAATCAATATATAATAAATAATGAACACATCCTGCTAGTCTCAGACATGCAGTGCTTCTCAGGATTGGCCAGAGATCTTCCCATATGACACCTACCCACCCAAATTTCTATGACATAAGATATGTGAACACAATAATAGGTAGAATAAGAAATTGTCAACTAAAATTATAACCTGTGTGAAAGTTTTCAAAAAAGAGTGTATTAATTCAACAACAAGCAAGCAAGCAACCAGAAATAAAGTAAGATCCAGGTGGGAAAAATCTACAGAAAAGTTTTTAAACCAACACACATCATAATGGACAATACTGGGTGAAGTGGTGGCATTCTGAGGTAAATCTAAGTTATATCTCTTAGTCTCAGAGAGGCTTCCTGCTATAGCTCTTGAATTATTAAGAGGTAGCCTTTCCAAGATACATTTGAGGAATATGATGGAGTAGCATGGGGAAAACTGTGTTGTAGATGTCCGTGTTGTATTGTCTGGACAAATGGTACCAATCAGGCCTGACAATTTTCTTGAGCACTAAGTTACTGTTAAGTGGTTAAAAATAGGAAAAAATACAACAAAAAAAAAGACTAAATAAAAACGGTAAGAGGATTCTCCGCTGCATGCTGTCTTTTGGAGTTTAGACCTGCATAAAATAGACTCCAAATACACTAAATCATAATGTTCCTACTTTGCACACATGCAAATGACCACAGAAAATGTGAGGCAGGAGAGAACTAGCTTATTTAGTTCCTACATAATGGAAGGAATGTCTTGCTTATGTTCTGGATTTTCTGAAGTTAACTGTCATTAGTGGCAATCAGAAGCTATGGCAAGATGGCACCTAAGGCTGCCTCCTCACGAGTGAGAACATCTGTTTCCCCAGGGACAAGCATCAGCCACACACCTTGTGTGGCTGCTACTTGTCCCTAGGAAACACCCGAGCCATGAACACTCTGGCTCGGGTGGGGCAGGGGAGGCTGGGGCCAGCACCTGTGCTAGCCCCAGCTGCCTTACCTGGGGCCCTATGGGCCTCAGAGAGCTACAGCCGTGGCACTCCTGCAGCAGGGCACCTGGCTAGCAGCCAGAGCATGGCTCCAGCTGGCCAGGCTCTGGTTTTGGGCCTGTCACCACATGTGCCACCCTGCTCTTTTTTGGTATGGGTTTTTTTGACCCCGGGATCTCCACACACGCACACACTGCAAAGAGCAGTGCGAGCAGCACCTGCATGTGATGTGTGTGGTGCTGCAAATGGGTCTGCAGTACCGCCTGCCACACATGAATGCTCATCTGGATGCAGCCTTAGGGATTAACTGTTTAAGGAAAGCATAAGCTTTAATAGGCAATAACCTACCTCACCAGATGGCAGGTGTTAGTGACACATCTAGTGACACATGACTGGTGACAAAAATGTTACTACTCTGAACCATTTGGGACAGGTTCCTGTCTGGTCTAACTATATATATATAGGTATTGGAGATACATAGGAGGTGCACATGCACCCCCTGAGATTGGTGGTGTACCCCCATTGAAAAGTACCACCCCCCCCCC